CACGCGGCTCCCACGCGCGAGCGAACGGTGCATCCTGTCTCCTGTGAGCTCTCTCCGCGAGAGCCAGCTGTGCTTCCGACCGCGGGGCAGTGCTTTCAAACGAGACGCCAGGCTACAGAGAGTGACAGTCAGAACCTCACCAACACACTCAGCCACCAAGATGGTCAAGAAACCAGACCCTCGCCGGCCGGCGTGGCTCAGGGATTGAGCGCCGACCTACGAACCAGGAGGTCTCGGTTCCATTCCCAGTCAGGGCACAGGCCCGGGTTGTGGGCTCGATCCCCAGTGTGAGGCCTGCAGGAGGCAGCCGATCCATGATTTTCTCTCATCGTGGATGTTTCCATCTCTCTCTCCCTCTCCCTTCCTCTCTGAGATCGACAAAAAAATATTAAGAAAAAAAGCAAGAGGCCCCATTCTCCGGGCACCGCGTGGGCGCCCCTCAAGCCTGGAGGTGGGGCAGCTCCTCGGGTCTGCGAGGCAGCGACTGGGACGCAGTGGAGGCCGGGCCTGCATGACAACTGCCCTGGAGGCGGGCTGCTCCATGCAGAGCTCAGCATCGCCCAGGAGAGCCCGGCCTCTCAGGCTGGGACGAGGCAGACGCCCACGGATCCCCCGCTCTGTGCAGCTGGACTCCACCCCACACCTCCTCCTCCCGGTGCCTCGGTCTCCCTTTCTGCAGAGTGCCAGGACAGGGGCCACGGGCCCAGGTGCTGATGCTCTGGCCCTCCGAGCGCTGACCACGGCCCTCCGAGTGCTGACCAGGGCCCTCCGAGTGCTGACCACGGCCCTCTCCCTCGGCCGAGGGCGCTCCCAGCTGCAGGGCTGTGCTGGGCGGCGCTGGGGCTGCGATGGCTGACAGTCTGAGGTTGGTTCTAATTCGAGGAGCACTAGCTCCGAGCGGACTGTCCCCACCCACACAGCACCACGCCGGCCGAAGCCTAACCACAACCTGAGCGACCAATGGGTTAAACCGCTCTCTGGGCGCGTGCATGGCCCTCGCTGGCGGGACGCACCGCCGGGAGCACTGGGAAGGGAGCGAGGAGGCACAGACACCAGGAGGAGCGGGAGGTGTAGAGGCAGCGACACCAGGAACCAGAGGGGCGGTCAGCACAGGGGCACGGGGCACGTACGTGTGGGTCGCAGGTCCGCGGCCTCGGGAGCAGCGCCTTCCCTGGGGGAGCCGAGGGGCTGGGCCACG